TGTGTGTGGTTCAGCTGCATGAACACTGCCTCCTGACTTCTGGTAGTTTGTGTCGCCCGTGTTGTCTAGGTCATCCTTGTTACAAGTTCATTTCCAAGCTGCTTTTCCTCTGAATGAATTAGCTTTGAGGAGTAGGACATGGATCCTCAAGCTCAAAGGGACCGCATATTCTGGGTGGTGGATGGGACAGCCTCCTTGTAAACCATGTATGAAAGATTTAATTTCTCTGATGTACTTGAACTCATGTGTTATGAGGACAGAGTTGATGATTTTATATATCCTGCTTAGAGCAGGATAAAGCCAGGATTTTGTAGTTTGGTCCCTATTGCAGTTGTTGGCACAGCACCAACAGCCACAGGTGGTAACACTTGTATGTCATATACTGCATATGAAGCTTGGGCTTGGACGTGGAGAGAAAGTGGTGGGGAAAAATATATAATCCTTGTCTTTGAGGAACCATCAAAAAAGCCAATCACACTTTGTAAGACAAGACCCCACGGTGGCACAGCTTTGGAACTGACACACAGGAGGGCATTGTAGCCCTGTGCCAGGACCAGGCAAGGCTTCACTTGGATAATGGGCCAAACTGGACAGGGAGGCCTGAACAGGTGAAAAATCCTCCAGTGGCAGGTGCAACCCTGAAGGAAAATGCTCAGAAAAGTAGGGGAGCATTGTGTTTGCAAAGTAACGTACAATGCGCATGCCACCCAGTCTTACTGGGACAGCGCCTTGCTGTTGGTCAAAACACACTTCATCTTTGTAGGCATGAGCACAAACCATCTCTCTGGCTTGTTCCAACAGAGGAATGTCTGTTAGAGAGGACATGGGAAGCGTGCTCACCTCTTGTGGATTCTTCTCAGCGTGGGTTAGTATTCGTTCATTCACAAATGCCAGGAAGCCAAGCCCAAACTTACTTCTGAAAAGAGAAGGGCGATGTTTTGGCTCAGGTGACTGGCAAGGGCAGGCATGGAGCTGGCTTCCTGCCCATGGCGTTGGTGTCTACATGATGCATTGGCACATGCATCCAGGGATTTCCGTCCCTGGTTTAGCTCTGCCCACTGCCCCCCTCTTTCCCCGAAATTACGAGATGGTGCCAGCAGTCCTGATGGCTGTGCCTCTGCCAGGTGACAACTGTGTAAGAGCTAGAACCTTCCATCTGTGTTCCCAGCCACATTCTGCTGCTTTGCATGGCCTTGACTGAGGTCCTGTCTCTGACCCAGTCGTTGTGGTGACCAGGGTTAGAATCGAGTCTCTTGGAAACCGCTGAGCTGAGAGGTGCTAGGTTCCCAGAGACGAGTGCATGGTGGGAACACAGCAGATGTCCTCTAATTCCTTTGGTCATGACTGCTAGCCAAGGTGCTTCAGAGACTGGAACATGTGAGTGAGTGAGAGAGAGAACAAGAGCAAGAGAGAGACAAAGAGATCTAAGGAACTGGCTTACTCAACTGTGGAAGATTCATGGCCAGAACCCACAGGGTAGGCCCACAGCCTGGAGATCCGGCGGATGGGGGACCCAGTGTGATTGTGTGTGATCTCAGCCAAGCTCTGTGCCTGCTCATGCCCCAGTCTTAGTCTTCTTATCTGGAAAGGGGGTGTACTTGCCAGTGCCTTACTGGCCACACAAAATGATGCTGATTAGCAAGCTCCGAGCCCAGGCATGTGCATGAGAACACTGTCAGCTCTGAAGTCATTCTGCAAGGTAATTATGATTTCAAACTGCTCTGTAATAACTTCTCTCTGCCACTCAGTAACCTGAGAGGATGGTGCAATTTCAGGAAAATTAGTTTGAGCTCTTCAAAACTTGCCACATAAAACAAAGCCAACCCCAATTTCTTTAATCAGAACGATGATCAGTTTCTAGAAATGAATCCCAGCTCTCCTGAGGCCTCTCAGGAGGATGGCAGCACCGCTAGCTTTGATTCAGGCTCTTGTGTGTCCTTGTCTTTTCCCACCCTGCCTGGTTCAGGCCTGTGTTTGGGAAACCTTGGGTGTGAATCAGTCCTGCTATTTGTCACAGGATGATTGGGTGCTTGCTGCCTCTTGCCTGATTTGAAAGCCAGTTCAATGATAATTAGAGTAGAGCGTTGCTAACATCTGAAATTGGGGTTGGGACTTGCTAGTGGGGCTAGGATTTAAGAAGGTTTGATGGCCTGGATAGGAAACACAGCTGAAAGCTTGGAACTGTCTCAGGCAGCCCTTGTGGCAGCCAGCAACTTGTGGTTGAACTTCCCAGGAGGCGGAGCTCTGGAGCTGTGGTGTCAGAGCTTCCTAGGTGTCAGTCCTGTGGTGTGCCCAGGGGTCACTGGTGATGCCGAGGGGTCACTGATGATGCCCAGGGGTCACTGATGATGCTTGGGGTCATTGGTGATCTCAGGGGTCACTGCTGATGCCCAGGGGTCACTGGTGATGCTCGGGGTCACTGGTGATGCCCAGGGGTCACTGATGATGCTTGGAGTCACTGGTGATGCCCAGGGGTCACTGATGATGCTTGGGGTCATTGGTGATCTCAGGGGTCACTGGTGATGCTTGGGGGTCTCCGGTGATCTACAGGCTTGCTCGCCTCGCTGCACACAGACTATGGCCGGACATCTGTGAGCATACTCAGTGAGGCGGGCTGTGTGGCAGGCATGCTTTCCCCAGTACGTGGCACCTGCGGGTACAGACTGCTCACAAGTTCCCTCCAGAAGGGCTGTGGCTGGGCCCCAGCTTGCACCTGCCTGTCTGGAATGAGGATTATCAGCAGCCTGGCTGACACTGTCCCGAGGCTGTGTTAGCCAGCAGAGCGGATGTGCCAGAGAGCATCTCTACAGAGATAAGCCAGGCGGCAGCTGCTGGAGCAGGTTCTGATGTGAGCAGCTAGGCCATGGCTGTGCACAGAGCACTGGACCGGGAGTCAGGCCTGGACATCCTCTGTTCACCACGTGGGTTTCTGCTTCCTTTGCAGGTATCAGGAACCTTCTTTTAGATCAGAACCTTCTAGAGTCTCCTCTGACTCTTGGGTTTGCAAGATCAGTACAAGATGAGCCATCTTCACACTCTGGGTGAGAGGGGCCACCAGGTCCTTTCTCATCGCCATAACCCAACCCTCCCAGTTCCCACTTCCTGTTTTGCAACGGCAACCAAGCCGTGTTGGTCTGTAAGCACATAGCTTGTGCCAGGCAGAACCCTGAGCCGGGGGCACAGAGCCCATGCCAGTTGTGCGTGGCTCTCGCTGAACTCACAGAGCCCCCACAGACAGTGCTGCCTGGCTCTCGCCGAACTCATACCCTCAGCTCCATGTTGTCCTCTGGCCAAGACGGGAACCTGGCAGCTCTCTGCTGTGGCTCTGTTCCCTTCTTCCCTCCATACTAAGCATTTTGGTCTCAAGCTCCGGACAATGCTGTCCCTTGTCAGCGTGCCTCCGGGTTCACAGCGTGGCTCAATGCTGTTCCCTCCCCAAGGCCTCCTATAGCTGTGGGCTGTTCTGGAACACGCTATTGCTTGCCTCATGGCTTCTCTTGTGTAACTTATTGAGACCTCATTTTTGGTTCCCACATGTCTCATACATGTTGTGTGTGTTAGGAGCGAACGTTGGCCTGCTAGGTGAGTGAGTGAAGGTCCATCGCTTGCAGCACTGCTATAGGTTGGGTGCTGCTCCTGCTAGAACCTTCCTCCTCTCATGCTTGCTTGAAAAGACCTGCGTTTTTGGAAAGTCTTTGTTCTGTTTCTTTTCTTCCTCCGAAGCCGTCCTGGGCATACACGCAGGAAGGCACAGGGAGCCGCGTTGGGTATGCACGCAGGAAGGTGCAGGGAGCAGTGTGCTGGGCACGCACGCAGGAAGGTGTAGGGAGCCGTGCTGGGTATGCACGCAGGAAGGCGTAGGGAGGCATGCTGGGTACGCATGCAGGAGGCATGCTGGGTAAAAGTGAACTGTCAGGATGGAAAATGATTTGGCTCCTTAGGGAGTTAGTTATTTACTTGACTGGTTTTTTCCCCCTCCTTCTTTAATGAAAATCTCTCAGAGGAGGCCTTGCTATATGGAAAGCAGCCAAGATCAGCCTCATTAAAATGACCTTGGGACTCTGGCTGGACAGTTGTAGCCAGAGGGCTTGATGGCTGTGGCAGTGAGAGGGTAGGTTGAACAGGTAGAGGGTCAGAGGCCAGCACCGTGGTGAACAGCTCGCAAGACGGGTTGTTGCTGGCAATGGGGGCCAGTTGTACAGCCTGTGGGAGACTACAGTAAGCTGAGATGTTTGGTGGCTAAAGAGAGCCAGCTATATGGGCTGACCTGTTTTTGAATCTGTGGCTGCCTCATGTAGCTGTGTGAGCCCTCCACTCCCTTCCCTGGGTTGCAGAATGGGGCAACATAGTATCCACTTGCTGTGTGAGTCAGGATCCCAGCAACTTCAGTTACTGGCACGGAGCTTTAATCATTAAAGCATGGCTTCTGTTTGGGGAGAGCCCCTGTGGCTGCTCCAGGGCAGTTTCTAGTGGGGGATGGCTCAGGGAACCTGGGGGAGGTGGAATGGAGATGCCGCATTTGCCCTCTTTCTTCCCTTGCCCTGCCTCTCCTCCGGCCTCCAGGCTTCTGCAGCTGCACCTGTCCAGTACAAGGATGGGTGACCTGCTGGGGCTGGGTGCACACATGTCAGCCCCCTTCCCAAATCCTTGTCCAGGGCACAGCGAACGGAGACTGTGGGTCAGGAGGGCACACGGAAGGCACTTGACATGGAAAGGTTTGCAAAGGGGATGTGAGGTGTCTGCGAGGTGAGGGAAGGGGGCTGACACACAGGCAGTGTCTTGGTAGGCAGTGGCCAGCAGTTAAGACCATCCTCAATGCTGCCTCACCTCTGTTACCTCTGAGCTGTCCCCTGGGCTGTGGCCCTGGGACCCACGCCCGCCCGTGTTCCTGGGGCACTGTGTAGGGTGTCTGTTGGTGTTGAGGTGGGTCCGGGGAGGCAGGCGGGCTGGGGTGGGTGGTGCTCTGCCCCTGCTCTCTGACCTCACGGCTTCTCCGTCTTCCTCCAGGGGAGGCTGCCCCACTGACTTGTGGCCCCCGCCAAGGACCCGGCTGTGGCTGAGCACTGCTGTGCCAGGCCCCGTTCTGACATGAAAGCCATGCCCTGGAGCTGGACTTGCCTGCTCTCCCACCTCCTGATGGTGGGCATGGGCTCCTGCACACCGCTCTCCCCGCAGCCCGCTGCGCCGGCCCAGAAGCGATCTTTTGCCACTTTCCGAGGGGAGCCCGGCGAGAGCTTCAATCACCTGGTGGTGGATGAGAGGACAGGGCACATTTACCTAGGGGCTGTCAACCGGATCTACAAGCTGTCGGGCAACCTGAAGGTCTTGGTGGCCCACCAGACAGGGCCGGATGAGGACAACCCCAAATGTTACCCGCCCCGCATTGTGCAGACGTGTGCCGAACCCCTGACCACCACTGACAATGTCAACAAGATGCTGCTCATTGACTACAAGGAGAACAGGCTGATCGCGTGCGGGAGCCTCTTCCAGGGCGTGTGCAAGCTGCTGAGGCTGGACGACCTCTTCAAGCTGGCCGAGCCCTTCCACAAGAAGGAGCACTACCTGTCGGGGGCCAACGGCAGCGGCGCCGTCTTTGGCGTGATCGTCTCTTACAGCGATCTGGATGACAAGCTCTTCATCGCCACGGCTGTGGACGGCAAACCCGAGTACTTTCCCACCATCTCCAGCCGCAAGCTGACCAAGAACTCGGAGGCAGACGGCATGTTTGCATATGTCTTCCATGACGAGTTTGTGGCTTCCATGATCAAGATCCCCTCGGACACCTTCACCGTCATCCCCGACTTCGATATCTACTATGTCTATGGTTTCAGCAGTGGCAATTTTGTCTACTTTCTGACCCTTCAGCCCGAGATGGTGTCCCCGCCAGGCTCCACCACCAAGGAGCAGGTGTATACCTCCAAGCTGGTGAGGCTCTGCAAAGAGGACACGGCCTTCAACTCCTACGTGGAGGTGCCCATTGGCTGCGAGCGCAGCGGGGTGGAGTACCGCTTGCTGCAGGCTGCCTACCTCTCCAAAGCTGGGGCTGTGCTTGGCCGCACGCTCGGGGCCCGTCCAGATGATGACCTGCTCTTCACTGTCTTCTCCAAGGGCCAGAAGCGCAAGATGAAGTCCCTGGATGAGTCGGCCCTGTGCATCTTCATCCTGAAGCAGATCAATGACCGCATTAAGGAGCGCCTGCAGTCCTGCTACCGGGGCGAGGGCACGCTGGACCTGGCCTGGCTCAAGGTGAAGGACATCCCTTGCAGCAGTGCGGTGAGTCTGCTGAGGGGCTGTGGGCTTGGGCTGGGGGCCTGAGGGGCTGGATACCCCGACTTGCAGCATGGACGCCACTCTGCTCCAGGGAGATTGCTCCTGGGTCTTCCTGGACCCGGACTGTCGGTAGCTCAGTCTCGAGTGCATTCGTGGACTGAAGCATGGGTTTCCTATTGGGATCTCAGTTCTGATCTGATCCATCCTGACTCCCTGGCTGTGAGTGGCAGTGCTGCGGTGAAGGTGGAGGAGTGCTCCAGTCAAGGCCAGGGCTGTCGGCCTGGCATGTGTGGCATTGGACAGCTGTGTGTGTGTCTGTGGAAGCCCAGCCTGCACAGCACTCTCCTGGCAGTTCAGAAGATAGCCATCGGTGGAGTGGGGAGAAGCTGTTCTGTACCCGGGGTGGTTGTGGGGTTTCAGGGGGCCCCTGCTGGCAGCCTCCTCCTGTGTCATTAGGAGATGGCACAAGGATGGCAGACGGAGGGATGGGTCCAGTGAACACGCAGGGGAAGGCAGAGTGCCTCGGCAAGGAACGGGAGGGAAAGCAGCACTGGTGGGGTGTCTCCTGTGTGTGCAGTGCGGTGGGAGAGGTATGCACCGAGCCAGCAGGCAGCGGCAGGCAGCACGGGGTGGCAGCACTGCTGCGGGCAGCCGGGGGCCCTTGGAGGGCCAAAGTCGGGGTGCAGCGGTGCTGCCTGCAGGCTGCAGGAGGTTGTGGCCTCCTGGCTCTCAGCAGGAAACACACCTGTTTTCTCTGGTCATTTCTGCGGTGTCTGACATGGTGGTTTTTTTTTGGGGGGGGGGGTTTGTTTTTTTTGTAATGATTATTCAAGCGGCTTGAGAGTCATTGCTGTTAGCTCTTCGAATCTTGTCTGCCTGTGTTTCTTCTCTCCCTGCCCTTTGTTTTCATCGTCCATTTAAAACATTATTAACCAAATATGAGAGAAGAAATCTGTGTCATCATCTTAATCTGGGGAGAAGAAAAGGAACAGGAGGGCCTCGTGCTGATGTGGCTCCCGTCTGCTGCTCCAGCCTGGGTGGGATCCATTTGAGGGAAGCTCATTGTCATGAGTTAGAGAAGAGTCAGTTTCCTTTCGCCAAGTGTGACTACCTGCAGATCTCAGGGGCGCTGGCACCCTGATGACCCCAAGCAAACAGGCAGAAAGGACAATAGAGAGACCGGGCAGCAGGGCCATGGGGTGGGGGGGGACGGATGTGGACAACTGAATTCCTGTGTCAACCCAGCAGGGCAGAGGGGACTGCGGCTGAAACAGTGCATCCCTTCTGGAAGGTCCTGAAGCCCCTCATCCCTCTCCCCCCGCTGCTCATGGCACAAGGAGACGGCGTGCTGCCGTGAGCCAAGCAAGGGGGCAGCAGCCAGGGAAGCCAGTGTTATCCCCAGGTGGGGGCGGCGCTGTTGTTGGCCTGTACTCAGCCACGGTCCACAGAGAGGTCAGTGGGAGTGTTGAGGGAACCCCCAATACTGCCACTGCAGCAGGACACCTGAGGCCACGTAGTTCATAATGAAACTCATAGGCAAAACCCACTTCTCATGGTCTAGAAGCTGTGAAGGCTAACATGAGGTGTTTGTATCCAGAGAGAACCTTCCAGCTGTAACAGAGCTTGAGGAAGGCAAATGCACTTTCAGTCACTCGGCACCTGTCTAGCGGCAGAGATGGCGGGAAGGTTGAACACAGGCTTTCATAACGAGGCCCCTCTTCCAGTAATGACACTGACCTGCTCAGAAGAGCGGGGTGCTAAGGCTTAACTGCCTCTCACAGGTTCCACCTATTAATATAGTTACCATGGTGATTACATTTCAGTAAGCGTTTGGGACATACAGTCCAACTGTAACAGCCAGCCAGGTGCAGATGAACCATTGCCTCCAGTTGTATACCTTGCGTGCAGCCGGGTGCAGGTGGATGCACTGCCTCCAGCCGTGTGTCTTGTGTACAGGTGCCCAGCCCTTGAGGAGAGTCTCTTCAGTGCACAGGGCACCTGCACAGACACACGCACACACGTGTGCACACCCCACCACACATGTACTTTCACACATGCAGGAAATGCCACCATGAACGTGCACATGTGTCACCTACTTTGGAAGATGGCAAGTCTGTGCGGTGTTGCTTCTGAGACCAAAGGGGTTCACTTTTCTACAGAACCCTGCCTTTGTGGGAGCCGCATCAGCTGCAGGGATTCATGAGACTGCCCTTAGTTCCTGCACCAAAGGCCAGGTTCATTGTGGAAATCTGCAGAGCTGCAGGCCCTAACACTTAAGATTGCCTTGGAGAGAACAGAGAGAAACTAGCTTAGCAAGCCATTGCCAGGATTTGATTCATGGAGCCAGGTAATAAGCTTTTGAATTTTTCTTTCAGCTTTAATTAGCCTTTTTCAAGTCAGACACACGTTCTGGGCTGACAATGGAGAGAAGACCAGACACTGTACAGAAACAAAAGGCCAAGCCAGCTGCTAGTGCAAAATATCCATTTCTTTTTGTTTGGCCAAGGCTTAGGTCCCTTTGCTGCAGCCTTCTTGAAACGGTGCCTTTGGACTCAGCTCAGGCCACACGTGTTTTGTACACTGTGGGCATCATGGAATAGATGGAGTGAACTCTGGAGTTCTCTCTTGCCTCCCAGCCTGGGATCCCTGGAGGCCAGTGGAGTGGGTGTGGGCTTGTGTCCTGTAGACAGTGGTGCAGGCAGGGTAACACCCACACAGTTTTATGTTTTGTAGTGTGGAAGCCCCTGCAAGTGTTATTGCAGCTACATTTGGTTTTTTAAAAAAGAGATGCCAGGTTGGCTCTGCACCTGGGGGCAGCTTCCACCCTTGCCTTTGAGCCATTTGTTCCCTAGTCCAGATGTTCTTCAGCCTGCTGTCCTTGTCTGGTAGTCTTTGTGCTGGAGCCCCTTGCTTTCCTGTGAACTCATTAGACACTGGCAATGTTCTCACTTGCAGAGGATGCAGAAGCCACTGGAGGTCCTCTCTGGGGGCCAAGGAGTGGAGGGGAGAGGTCTTTAGGGCCTCAGGAGGAGGGGCCAGCACGACCATCAAACTGTCACTCACTCACTTGAATTTTCTCTGAACGTGGGCCCTGTTGAGGAGCGTTAGGTGAGGAGGTAGGAGGCAGCCTCTTCACCTTCTTTTAACCTTGACCTTGAGTGACCTTCTCTTAGAAAATTTGGGTCCTTAAGATAGAAACTTGGCCTGGAATCAAGGCCCAGGGTGGGAGTAGGCAGCACTGGCCTCCAGTGGGAGATGGCTGTGGGCACTCTGCAGGGTGTTAGATGATGGAGGGGACAAGCACGTCAGTCGGGGCGCGGGGTCACAGAGGCACAGAGAAGCCTCCTGCGTCATTCTAGGGCACATCATGAATGGACCAGACCCTGCTGCTGTCCTTATTCTCAGGCTCCTCCAATGCCCACCCCTCTGCCCCCTCTCTTGCCATGTCCGGTGCAGCCATTGCCTGAGCTCTGCAGGCTGCTTCCAGCCAGGAGCCAGAGTTCAGTCCCTCTCCCCTCACACACACCTCCAGGAACCCCTGGAGGAGAACCGTGGCAAAGCCAAGCTCCCGCCTGCCCTCGGGGCTCACCTCCAGCCCTGTCCAGTCCCACAGGGACAGAGAGGTGCTGAGGTCTTTGCTGATAGCCTCACCTCCTGGGCCAATGTGTGCACGCATGGAAGTGGAGGAGCCCATTTCTGTTTGTGTCACTCAGTGGTTTCCTGCACACAGTGTCCTGGGGAGGAGACCAGGCCACCCCCTCAAACCCAGGCTGGCCTCACTTCCTAACCCGAACGGTCCCTCAGATGTGACTGGCGCCTCAGATCCTGAAACGCCATGCAAGTGAGCATCCAGAGTGGTCAGGCAGCCGCCAGGGCCCAGGGCAGCTTCTGGCTGTCCGCTGGGGTGTTTGCTTTTCCCCAGCGGCAGGAAGCTTGGCAGTGACTGGATGGAGCTGCATCCTGTTGTTGATGGCTGTGTGCAAAGTTTGCTCTTGTCAGCTTGGCTCCTCTCCTTGCTGGGAAAGCCTCTTCTTCCCAGCTCATGCCTCCTCTCCTAGTCTCCAAACTCCCATCCTTGTCTTTATACATGGCATGGCCCATGGCAGGTGCATGTTGCCGACTGTGCCCATGTGTCTATGCACAGCTCGTCTCCCGCCTGGGCTGGGCCCTGACCTCTTCCAGCCTCGTAGGTCACAGCCTCCCTGCCCTGTGCATTGTGGGAGGAGTGCCTGCTGTGGTTCAGTCCAGATCTTGAGTGAACCGAGTCTTACTACACATTTCTCCAAGCTTCCCCTGTCCCAGGTCCCTGAGTGAGAGGCCCAGTGTTTGCAGAGAAATCCCTAACACAGTCTAACCTGGGAAGTTCTGGGGTGCAGGGGAGCCCAGGCTGTGGGACTGGCATCCTGGGCTGGGTGCCTTTTCCCAGGAGGCCCACTCAGGAGGCTGTCAGGAAGGATAGTGACTGGACCCAGAAATCACACACACCATTGAGTTCTCACCAGGACAACTGCTGAGTAATCCCGGCTCAGGTTACCGACGCTGTCCAGGCCCCCTTTGCTCTTGGCGGCGACATGCCTTCCCAGGAATCCATCTGTCCTTGGTGGAGGTCTGTTTCGGTGCCCTCTGCTTCTCCACCTTGCTCCTGGGTTTCACTGTCTCCCTCACATGCTGGCTTTTCCTGTGATTTGTTCTTGCCCACACCCACACTCTACACTCAGCAGCTGCAACAGAGATTGCTCTCGTGTGCACACACAGGCACACACACTCGGAGTACACTATGGCCCAGCCCAGACAGGAAGCCCATCTCTTCCTTGGTGCAGTGACTGACCTTACTCAACAACCCGGACGTGTGTCCCTAGGCTTCCCCTTCAATACTGTCTTCCTTAGTGGGTGGCGTGAGGGCCGAGGCACTGCCTGCAGGTGCAGTCATTGGGTCCCAGCCCAGTTGCAGAGTAACTGGGGTGGCAAGCACACTCCCTTCTGCTTTGTGGGCAGGATATGGT